TATAAATATGCTCGAAGGTTGTACCATCAACACTCATAGCCATATTTTGTGAGATACTACTATCTTAAATCTTGAACAAATATAGAAGCTTAGAGGTGAGTGTTCGTACTTTTGATTCACGGGTTGTGTGAGATCAATAGGTAGTTCAACAAGGATTCTCTACGCTTACAATCTAGTTAGGTTTTAGAGATTCAATGAGTGATTGGTTGGGATGTAGGTATAGATTAATTGCTGTAGAATTTGCTGTAGACGTTTTTGCTGTAACTATTTTAAAACTAAAATATGATTGGGTAAGTATTGGATTTATGCTGTAGAATAATTTTTTCATATAAATTTTTGAAATAAAATAAATAATATTTATTGAATAACATATATGAAAAATTATTTAACTAAATAATATATATATATATATAATATTGTTATATATGAGTAGTACATATCTAATTCCAATTTTTATATAGATAATAAAATTAATATAATATATATATAGAAATTTTATATATAAATAAGAGGTCATAAATAACGTTAGCACAATATGTTATACACTATATATATAATGATAACTATATAAATATATGTGTCCTTCGTTGAAAACGAAAGAGGAATAACAGGAGAAAAAAAAAAGGAATCTTACAGCCAACTTTTATTTCTACAGACTTAGAAACAAGGCTTTAGGAAATACTAAATAGAGCTTTTACAACCATTTTTTTTTTACTTTAGCTTTAAAAATTAACTTAAAGCATGATTGGTAACTTTTATGGCTTTAGGAAAAAAATGAAGGCTGTAGATTGCTCTTACAGCCTAACTAGGCATGTCAAACGAGCTAGTCCGGTCCGGTCCGAAAAATATTCGGGCCTATTTTTCAAAACTCGGCTCGGTCCGAACAGGGCTATAGGATTTTATGGGCTTTTTCGTATTTATATATAAAATAAAAAAAAATTAAAAAGAAATATTTACCAAAATAAATCAAAAATTTAAACAACTACCAATATGTTTTTATCGAAATCCAATTTAACTAAAAGAAAAAGTGTGGCC